TGAGATACCACAGGAGGACATTGACCACCTGATCAGAAGCATGCCTAGGCGCGTTGGAGACGTAGCACATCAGGGTGCATCCACACATTATTAAAGGTCAAAGGGCTTTAAAGTAGTGCAATCATTTTGAAACTTTTATCATTTACTTATTATGCTTCATTAAGTACTTATACAAAATTTTATTAAAATAAAACCATGTAAACTGGGTATTCGGATTTATATGTCACTTAGTATATTATATGTATTGTAATTCACAGTGGCGACGCGTGACTCCTCCTAGACAGTTACCAAAACCAGATGTGAAAAATCTTATTATAATTTTTTGCTTATTTTAGGTATTTTATTTAAACTATTTTCAAATTAAGGTAAACATTCCTGGACTGAGCGTCTGGGGCACTTGATATACCTAATCGTCTTATGCTATGGCTAATCCAAGCCGTCCGAAAAAACAGTCGACGTTTCTAGATGTTGAAAATTTTTGATCTTTTTTGGCAATGAATGCTAACAATTGCCTGTGATTTCCTCTGTTGTCAGAGTCATCCCCTTCAAAATGAACGGTTATTCCTGTTTTGCCAAAAAACATACGGTATCTAGAAGTGTGCTATCTAAAAGCTTGTTTAAGACAACTTTCGATTCTTGTTTTGCCAAACTGAATTAATTTGGCTACACATCTCACATGTAACGGAGAAATTTCATGTCTCCTCTTTAGAGCCCTAAAACTATTTTAGTCGTTGACTCCGCTGCTGGTCCACCCATTTTTTTCTATATAAAACAGATAACATCGCCAACAATACAATCTGTTTTTTTGCAACCACATAACCAAGAGTTTCCATATACCAACTTAATTTAAAATATCAAAGTACGTTTGTTTATTCCTTTTTAAAATTATCTAAAGTAGGTGTTGGTCTTCCATTTTCAATTATATCCTTTTTTTCTTAAAAATCATACAAGGAGAATGACTTTTCAAGTAGTTGATCGATTACGCAGCGACACTCATCCATGTTTAATTGCACGCATACCAGTAACCAAATCGGCTACTAACGAGTGAGAAGTGAGTAACCAAATCAAAAAATGGTAACAAGCCCACATAATAGTCGCAGCGCCCCACGCACTCGGGCGACCGCGATCAGACACGAGCCGGTGCCGACGGTCCCCGACGGACTACCAAGTGTATCCATAAATGAAAATGGTAACAACCGAACCGACAACCAAGTCGAGGCGAGTCAGCTTCATCGTGTTCGCAAAACCTAGACACTATAGGGCGCATAATTTGCTATTTACTGAATTACTATTACATATCGCTGTTGGTAAACAAATAAATGAAACTATTTCACAGTAACTTAGTCATAAAATATTTATTTTTAAGATTTTAAACTGTTAGCAATGGTAACAATGGTTACATGGACGCTTCGCCAATGGCAATTCTTGATTTACACATTTTCTGATCTTGTTCTTGTCTGTTTTTTCCCTTCAGATAATAAATTTCTGTATTGTGTTACCAATCGCTATCTGATTGGTTAAGTGTAAGAGTAGCGAATGCTAAACTTCGGCAGTCAGTTAGTGTATTTCCAAATAAAGACGATTTTTATTATCATTATTATTATTGAGGTTGTCAAGCATCTAAAATTAAAGCTAAAACCATCCCCAGATGACTCCGAAGAGTATTTAAAGCCTTGTTTGTTAGGCCAAAAACGGTCACCTTTCGATTTTCGCAGACTGAACTCGTATACAACATCATGGTGGCCCAGCACACCATTAGCCAAATCTAGCTGTACCATGTTTTTACATCAAAATTCAATCACGACTTCATTTTGCTTATGTCTAACTGTAACCAAAATTTCATTAAAATAGAATCATTTACAATTTATGTTCTAGTTTCTTTATCAATGCTTAATTGCAGCCCTCCCCTCGTGTCTAAAATGCTGGAATAACCAATAATTAATTATATGAACAGTAGAAATAAATACCAGACATTAGGCTTACCTAGGTGGTGCCACAAAAACATACCTGAAGCTTTCTTCAAGTAAATACGCGTTTTTTTAAGCATCATAATATGTACTTTATTGCTTTATGGGGAATGAAGAAAGGGTTGAAGTAAATTGAGCACAATAAGGTTGCGCAAGTTTTGTAATAACGGATCTTTGGGTTGTAACGGTTTCCGGTAGATAAAAAACATGGATTATTACTTAGATAATTAAGGAAAGGGTTGCGAGGTAACGGGTAGAATGCCATAAAGTACAACTGTTAGGCTTTTTTTTAGACAAATTGCATAATCCAAAAAAGAGTTAAATATTATGAAAAATTCTACCTGCTGTACAAGTGGCGGATTATAAAAGATACAAAAAAGTGTTTTATGATAAAAAAAAATCAGCCACATAGCCTAGAACAGTTATCATACAGGCAACCTAAGAAACCTTGAATTATCATTTCCAAAAACAAGCTTCTGTGTAACTTTTGGATAGCTTTCATACAAACGGGCAAGCGATGAAGACAAAGAAGGAGGAAACAATTAGAGCAAACAACGGAGTGAATCAAGGTGAAAAATTTTTGAGTATTATTGGTTTGATTGCTTGAATAATTTTATCATATCCAAGTGAAGGGTTTTAATGAACTATGCATTAATTTTGATTAAGTGCGAGACGCCAGACTTGGGTCGAATACAAATCCTGAATACTGTATTTTAAATTGTATTTGAGTACTCAAGATTCTAATACAAAGGAGTAAAATATTCAAATATACTAAGTGACGTATAAATCCGAACACCCAGTTTAAATGGTTTTATTTTAATAAAAGTTGGTGAAGTGGTATCTTACTGTAAATAACAAGTGAAAAAATTTTCAGCCTTATCAGTTGGACATTCCGGTTTTTATACTGCTTTTTTTTAATTCACTAACGCTCTAAAAATGAATATTTCAGCCGCAGTAAAGAATCAACATTGGCGGATTTTGGTTCTTGACATCCTTTACGATCGGTTACGATACCTAGAATACGGAGACCTGTACGATTTCGTCAACTTAGTGAGTTTGATAGGGGCCGTATAGTGGGACTTCGGGAAGCTGGACTTTCTTTTCGGGCAATTGCAGTTAGAGTGCAAAGAAGTGTAGACACTGTGGTTAGGTGTTGTCAGGCATTGCTTCGAGAAGGCCGTACGCAAAGAGCAAGGGGCACTGGACGCTGCTGTAAAACAACAGACCGTGAAGATCGCCGCCTAACATTATTGGCCTTAAGGGACCGTTTCTCCACTTCCAGGTCCATTGCAAATGAATGGTTTGCAGAAAACGGAAGACCTATTGGCATGCGAAGTGTTTACCGACGAATGAGAAGTTTTGGCTTGTTTTCATACCGGCCACACTGGGTCCTCCCTTTAACTCGAGAACACCGACGTAATCGCCTTGAGTGGTACACAGACAACGGTCACTCTGGGATCAGGAATGGAACAGTATTGTCTTTAGTGACGAGTCTCGAGTTTGTTTAGGCATGCACGATGGTCGTGCCAGGGTTAGAAGGCGACGCGGTGAAAGGAGGAATCCACAGTTTTTTGTTGAAAGACATGTTCATCACACTGTTGGAGTTATGGTTTGGGGTGCTATAGCTTATGGTTCCAGGTCACCTTTAATCTTCATCAGAGGTAACATGAACGCGCAGCGTTATATCCACGAAGTTCTAGAACCCCATCTTTTACTCTATCTTGACACCCTGGCAGATCCAACTTTCCAACAAGATAATGCCCGACCACATGTTGCAAGAGTCACAATAGACTTCTTTCAACATAATGATGTCACATTGTTACCATGGCCACCAAGATCTCCCGACTTATCCCCAATTGAGCACGTGTGGGTTATGATGGGTAGGAGATTGCTCAATTTGCGACGTCCTCCTCAGACTCTAGAAGCACTTCGAGAGGAGTTGGTGGTTGCCTGGAATGAGATACCACAGGAGGACATTGACCACCTGATCAGAAGCATGCCTAGGCGCGTTGGAGAATGCGTAGCACATCAGGGTGCATCCACACATTATTAAAGATCAAAGGGCTTTAAAGCAGTGCAACCATTTTGAAATTTTTATCATTTACTTATTATGCTTCATTAAGTACTTATACAAAATTTTATTAAAATAAAACCATTTATACTGGGTGTTCGGATTTATATGTCACTTAGTATATCACTGTTTTGAATACCTGGATTCATTTAAATATGATTTTTTTTTCAATATTCAACAAACTTTGAACTTGATTTTTATTTACGTACTTAGGTTGTAAAAATTTAAAAATATTTATTAAAAATACATGACTATATTAGATAAAACTTAAAATAGCATTTTGATACACAGTGTCACAGAGTGATTAGACAAATCAATTGTGTAATAAAAAACATGATTTTTATTAGATTTTTATAGAAAAATATTAGACTAAAACTTAATAAGGAAATATATGATTCTTATATAGTGTACCTACATAATAAAAAATGAACTTACCTTGTTGATATATCTACCTTATCTGGTATTACATGCAAAAGATAGGTACTGAAGTTTATTTTAAAATACTGGGTGTTTCAGAACTAAGGGATCAAACTTCTAGGGGTTATTCAGTGTTACAGTAGAAAACATTGGAGTATAGGGACCCATATCCGGAAAAGTGTCACTACAGCCATAAGACGCGTTAAAAATTAGAAAGACGATGAATTGCCTAAATAGGATTTAATGCATTTAATTTTTGCCTTTTGCACATGATATCATCACAACAATTGTTCAAAATGTCTTCCTCCAACCTGAATACACTGATTTAAACGTCGCACATGATTTCGGTGGACTTGACTAAAAATTTGATACTCGTATGCACTTGTGCTTATGCAATATTTCCATTATACCGGGTGTTTCAGAACTATGGGATCAAACTTGTAGGGGTTATTCAGTGTAACAGTAGAAAAGATTTGAGTACTAGGAATGTCTTTTAAGTTTTGCATATGGAAATAAAACGACGCGGTAGGTAGTTTTAAATGACTTTATTGTTTTTCGAAGTATTCTCCACGAAGATTAATACACATGTGCATGCTCACGAACCAATTTTCGAAGCATTTATTCCACTCGTTTGCTGGCAGATCCAAAACGGCAGTTTTTAATGCGTCAACTGCTTCTTCTGGTGACTGGAACCTTTGACCACGCAGTCTGTCTTTAATTTTCGGGAAAGTAAAGAAATCGTTAGGACTTAGATCGGGACTATATGGAGGATGGTCCAATAATTCCACGTTTTCTTCCGTTAAATACTGCCTTGTTTTTTGGGCTGTGTGCGGGCTTGCATTGTCTTGGTGGACGACGATTTTTCTTTCGGGGTTGTTTTTTCGAAGCTCGGTGATGACTTTTGGCAAACAAATGGTGGTATACCAATCCGCAGTAACAGTTCTTTGCTCATTAAGAGAACGGATGACCTTGGGTATCCAACGAGAAACTAATTTTCTCGCTCCTAATTCTTCATGATTTTTTTTTTTAAATTGAGGTCTTTGAGATCTTCAAGGACGCGTCAATCTCTCGATATATTACATGGCTTTGCGCACGGCATCGACGTTTTCCTGGGTGACTGCCGTTTTTGGTGCACCCACCCTGGGATCGTCGCTCCGCGCAGCCTACTATGTTTCTATATGCAAAACTTAAAAAACATCCCTCGTAATGCCTGAGGTGTTTCAAGTGTTATCGCTTTGTATGTGAAGCACTTATTCGAACACTACCAAGTCTGCGAGGTACGACTTGGAGTGTTTGCAAACTTGGTCGACCGTGTAATCTACTTAGCCACACGAGAGAGTTTAATTATAACGTCTCTGGGTCGGTGGTTTTACGTAATCCCTTAGATATGGTATGTCATGACCTCTTTGAAGGGTCTCATTTGACACGTACCTTGGGGGCGTTGGTGACTGTATCTAGGATGAAACTTTTTTATACCACATAATTCTTTTAACCAAAAATTCACTGAACTTGTTCACCCAGCATCTATGGTCTCAGTTATTGGCCTACTACTCGTATAATGGCCCTTCGTGGTATACCACCGAAAAATTATTAGTAAAGTCAAGCATAAAGCAAAGTTATACAAGAAGTACAAAAAGAGTCACAATAACCATCTACATGAACAGTACAAACGTCTTAGATCTGAGGTAAAGCGTCAAATATCTGTGGCCTATAAAAATTATACACGTAATGTTGAGATTTCCGTCTCTCAAGATCCTAAACATTTAATGCATACAAAAAATCGAACTACTAGGATTCCTGGTGAAATGAAGTTGAATGACGTCTCACTGAACGATCCTCACTTTGCTGTCAATGCATTTGCAGATTTTTTTAATAGTCTTTTTGTTGATCCATCTGCTCGTAATGATTTTATTGAAGGCAGGAATCCTACTAGTCAGGTTAACATATTTTTCAATGACATTAATGAAAATGAGATTATTGCTGCATCTAAAAAACTCAAGAATAGAGTAACGGCCGGCCCAGACTCCATCCCCTCGTTCGTAGTCAAAGATTGTATTCATGTCTTTGTTAAGCCGTTATTAAAAATATACAAGCTGACTATAGAAACCAACACATTCCCTGATATTTGGAAACTTTCTAGAGCGACACCTATTTTCAAATCAGGGGATAATACTGACATTAAAAACTATAGAACGGTGGCAATATTGTCGAATTTCTCCAAATTGCTGGAGATAATATTGCATAATAGAATTTACTCCGCAGTTCATATATCTCTGTCCCCTTTTCAGCATGGTTTTCTTACTAAGAGATCCACAGTAACTAATTTAACAATCTTCACCCAGTTCGCCATTAAATGTGTCGATCGGCAAGGTCAACTAGATGTAGTATATTTATACCGATTTTGCTAAAGCGTTCGACCATGGCATACTTTTGACTAAACTTTTTTAATATGGATTCCATTCATCCCCTTTAGCGTTCATTGAAAGTTATCTTCATGAAAGGAAGCAATATGTTACTTTTTATGGATTCAAGTCGTACCAGTGTATAACTAAACCGGGAATGCGTCAGGGTTCAAATCTTGGTCCTTTATTGTTTACCTTATTTATTGATGATGTTGGTCATTATTTAAGTTTCTTAATGCGTCTAAGTGTAGTGTAGTCAGCCTTTCCAGGAAAACTTATGCTTGTAAATTTAATTATAAAATTGGGGATACTTACATAAATCGTTATAACTCAATTAAGGATTTGGGTGTTGTTTTTGACCATAAGCTTAATTTTTCACTCCCACAGCTCAAAAGGTGAGTGAAGCTTCGAGGGCGTACCGTTTTATTGTAAGAAACTGTAGAAGCTTTAGCTTTAGTTGACGGTATATATCCTGAACGTGGTATATCTGAAAGTTTGTTATTGTCTAGGTTTCAAGTGCAGTCTTTAGAACTGAGAAGGAAGCGTGCATCAGTTATGTTCTTGCATAAACTACTGCACAACCAAATCGATTCTAATGGGATTGTGGCTCAAATAAACTTTAATGTTCCATCTATTCAAACTCGTACAGCTAAAACATTTTATTGTCACAGGGCTCGCACAAGTTTATTTTTGAAGGCACCCATATATGTGATGTGTGAAGCTTTCAATGCAATATCAAATTATTGTGATATACATGCTGACAGTTTGAACAGTATTCTGGAAGTAGCTAGAAATTGCTTGGATAGTTTATGATATGTTACTCACCTGAGTGAAATATGTTTTTTTGCTTCTTTTTCTTATTTGTTTTTTTCTTTAGATGAAATCACCTGCTTTTTACGTGTTTCTGTTCTTGCTATTTTGATTTATCTTAGGATTGTCCTGTAAATAGTTTCCTTAACTGTTAGGCAATAAACGCTATTTATTTATTTATAGAGGTAATATTCTCTGTCGAAATCCCTAACTATGAAATACTACGCCATGTGCACATTTTATATAAAACTGGTAGGATTAAAATGGTAACAATGGTGGATTGTCATTCGTCGCATTTCCTTCCTTCTTTCATTCGACCCCAATCCAAACCAAAATAATACCTCTCTCTTAATCACGTAGCCACCCTCGCTCCAATGACGCTGACCGCTGGTCAAGCGTGACTCATACAGAGCATTTCTTATAGTCAGGCTTTACGTTGCATTTTTCTCATTATTTCGGGGGAATTACTCACCCTAAATAATAATAATAATCGTCTCTTTGACACTGCACAATTCCGTACAGAAAAGGAAGAGTTGCATATGGTGGTGAAGTTTCGCAACATGCTACTTTTACACTTAACCTCCGATCAAAACACAAACAAGTTGTTAAGTAGCAGATATCAAACAAAAAAAAATCATGTTGCACAAAAATTTACTACATGTACACAAATGAAGTAATGTACATGTACAATATACATGTAACAATATATGGGTCCAAGCAGATATGAGATTTGAGAGCAGAAAACAGTAGCGTGAATAGGTGTAGTTATAAATTTGAAAATTTAATTTATCTATCATGTACGAGACCAGCTTTTCTATTAAGTATATAGGTTTGGACATAAGTATTAGTTTATACATGAATGCAAGGTAATGATATTTGACAATATCGTGAAAAACAGGCGTGATAATTATTTACAATTAAGTGCTCTGTGGAGTGACGCTGTTGGAAGGAGGTCCACAACTCATATAGAGGCCCACAAACTGGGATTTAGCACTTGCAAGGTAAGTTTTCTTATAAAAAAAGTGAAGTAAAAACCCTAAAGTTGCACAACTTGTTTATAGGCCAAAGAAAAGCCATTATTAACTCCACTGCAAAAGAAAAATCGGTTTAGATGGACTAAAGAACATAGACAATGGACACCTCAACAGTGGTGTGCAATACAATGGAGTGATGAGGCCCGATTCGAAGTTTGTGTTGGTGACAGTCGCAGTAGGGTTATTCGCAAAAAAATGAAGCATTCCACGTTGACTGTCTGAAGAGAAAAGTGAAATTTTCAGCATCCATTATGGTCTGGGGCAGTATGTCATCAAAAGGAGTAGGAAAACTTCATTTTATTGATGGAAATGTGGATAAAAACAAATATTTGGCAATTTTAGAAGAATCGCTTTTACCAGCGATGGAAGAATGTTTGACATCCGGCCAAGATTTTGTGTTTCAGCAAGATGGTACAGCGTGCCATACCTCAAAAAAGGCTATAAAATGGATGGAAGAAAATAATGTACCACTTTTGAAATGGGTTTCTAGCAATCCAGATCTGTCAAGTATTGAAACTTTGTGGCAAGATATGAAAAAGGTTCTACGACAACATCCTTCTCGTACAATCACCGAACTGAGGCAAAAGCTTCAAGAAATATGGGATTGTTTTACACCAACTTTTTGCCAAAACTTGGTTAACACTATGCCCCAAAGAATTTCAGCCGTAATAAGAAATAAAGGTGATGTTACCCAATGGTAATCTTTCAATTGTTGCTTTGTTAACTTCGCGCAGAGGTTCTATTAGTTATAGGTCTAAGTGATTTCAAATATGTATTTTTTTACGACTAGAGTGTATCTAAAATGTTTTTGAGAAAATAAATTGTTTTAGAAGTAAATAGTTTCGTCATGTTAGTTTATAAAGGCATATTTTGCTACAAATCTTGAAGTGGGCCAACTGAAGTGGGAAGGGGCTCGTAATATGTTATTGTCTATCCTATCAAATGCTTTACTGTAATCAAGCATAGTGAGACAAACTACTTTTCCTCCATCAACATTTTCATAGATGTCATTGATAATAGATATAGAGCAGTTGTAGTGTTATACTGAGATCGAAAGCCAGATTGAGCAGAGGTAAAAATGCCATGCTCGAATAATGAGATCTGTCTTGCATTGCCATTTCAAGAAGCTTAGAGATAGGTGGTAAAATGCTTATTGGTTTAATACAAAAATACAAAATATTTTTCGATTACAAACACTCCTCCTGTATTCAAACATCCTTACTGGCCACTGGTCAAGCGTGACTCACGTCGAATTTTCTGCTATTGCAAAATTGCATTTTTACCCCTGCACCACTAACAATGGCTCACCCCTATTCGATGATATATCGCGTCGAAATAAGAAATACGAACGTCGTAAATACGCTGAATAAATGATGGCGATGTGAGGGTGTGAAATGGGGGAATCGGGGGTTGGGGGAGGGAGAGTTGGGGTGGCAGTGGACATTGGTCCGCAGGGAAAGGGACGAGGTTTCGAACCAACTTAGATTGGATTTTATTGCGAGCGGGAGGGGTACTACGGTATTTATTGGTTTAGGAGGTCTACTTTTGAAGCGATCAGTGTAGAGGCTCGTTTTGAGCTTGGAAGCAGTTATAAGCATAAGAAGATGCATCCTAATTTTCTGATTTGACGGACCTAATCAAACCATATATACAGGGAGGCGCATCGAAAACGAAACAGACGCATTTACTGGCAGCTCAGTTTTTTAAATCAACTAATCTTCAAAACTACTGAACTGAAGTACATTAATTTTATATCATTATAAAGGGAATTGAAAGACCTTTAAAATAAGGTATCACTCGATCCTCCTTTCCATTTAAGATTTTAGGGTTGTGTCACCCCCGCCCAGGGGGCTGCACGTGTTAACGTGATTTCTTGCCAAACTTGTGTCCCCCTCGAAAACAAAATCGACGGGTCTGAGCGTTTTTCAAAAAAAAACTGAGCTGCCAGTAAATGCGTCTGTTTCATTTTCGATGCGCCAACCTGCATGGTTAGATTCAAGAGAAATCTGGAAACATCTCTTATGTCAAAATCCATGAAGCTTTTTTTTCGATACGTACCTGTAATATAAGTTAATCAACTTAAACAGACATATTTTTTGTTTTATTTTTGTCTAATATCACGTTAAATTAAAATTGATGAAATATTTATATTTACGCAACTTGCTTTTTATCTCATTGTTCCTTGATAAGCATAGTGCATAGGCACGCTGTGTGATCCTATTCACTTTGACTATTTTGATATTAAAATTAGAACATCCACCTACTTTCAAATGTATGTTTGTTTTGTAAATACATTCATTTTTTAAACGGGTGATATAACTTGAAGGTCTACATAATCTTTTGATCTCAAAACAGACTATTTTGTAATGTCTGCTACGAGAAGAAAATTAGGTTTATCAAGAAATGACTCTGTCAGTAAATGTAACTAACTTTTACTTGTTTGAAAACTTTTGGGCGCAGTCAAACATTTTTTTTAAAGATTTGAATTTAAAAAAACTAAGTTTCGTCTTTCGACGCTTTATGGGTTTCTGGTCAGTTGTGGTGAATTTTTTATTGGTTTTTAAAATTATACATTTGAGATTACTTGTAGAATACAATACAAATAGAGCTGGAACATGAAGCAGAAGCCTTGCTAGTTGGTCTAGCCCACCTAGAAAGCTGCGACATCATGGAGTAGAGCAGTCTTCAAAAAAGTTCATTCACAATCGCAAAATTCACTCGATCATGAATCAACTCAAACCACTTTTCTAGGCAGCAAAGCCGATAAGAAGGTTTTAATTTTTTTAGAGTTCTTAAATACAGGAATTCCTTAATTATTATTTATGAAAATGAATGCAAAAAACTTACAAACCACTTCAAGCGTATCTGTTCCTCCACCTTTATAACAAATGTTTCCCGTTTTAGAGCATAATGTGTAAAACACGCTTCCCTACTTATCCCAGATTAACCTTTAAACTATCCTCAATATTTTTTGTTCTACGCTCAAAAACTGTCGGTTGCACATGTGCCTAGGATTTCTCCAACATTTTCGGTCTCCTCCCCTTATATTTTGAATTCCTTCTACGCAGGCTGTTTAAGTACGAATGGCATAGGCGTACCTTAAATAGAAATCCGAGTGTTAAAAGTGAATTAAATTCGTTTGCATGAATGAAAAAAATTATGTAACATTTGAAAAATGACGTTTCGGAAAGTTCAACGATTTGAAATTAATTTTTAATTTAATTTTAATTAATATTTGCAGAGCCACAATATGATTTTTGTTTTGTTTTAAAGTAAAAATGGTGAGTGACTTCAGCGTCATATATGAAATGAATTATACATATATATATAAACATGGGTCGAAAAATGCGTGGCTTCCGAAATACAGGGTGTTTAAATTATCTTTTTAAAATATTTCGAACAATATTTGATGTATAACAGTGAAAATTGGTATACAAGGGTTTTTTGGTACGACAAAACGAACCATGGGCATAGTTTTACTGTAGCCGCTAGAGGGCGCTCCCTACTGTACCTGCAGTATATTAAAATGACCGAAAAATTTTTCTTAGTGTAATTTTTTGCTTTTTGAATAAAATCGCACTTTTCTGCATAAAAAAGCTCTCCTGTGAGTTTTCGTTGTAGTTAGCCGTTTTTGAGATATTTCGATTTTTAAGGTTCGATGCATTTTTAATTATTTGTGGGAAAATAATATTTTTTTTACATTTTCGATTTGGGCATTACAAGTAATTGAGATGATCGTTTAGATTGTGTTTTTAAACATAGCAATAATTCCTAACTCCAAATAAACACAAAAAACAGAATATTAATTTGTTTAATTTTCCAATACTATTTTTAACAAATTAAATTAATTATTTACAACTAAAATGCTATTGGATAGTTAGGACAAACATACAAAATCTAAAGTAGTTACTCGAAATGTAAACCCAATTGTTCAATACACAATTCACATCTACGAATGATCGAACGTGGTATAGCATTATTCAAATAAGGCCTTATTTCATCACATGCATTCCTGATTCTGTCTATTAGCATATCTCTTGTGGTTACGGGAGTCTCGTACACTTTTTGTTTTAGAAATCCCCACACAAAGAAATCTAATGGATTTAGGTCAGGGGATCGTGGAGGCCAGGCGACTGGTCCTCCACGGCCGATCCATCTTTCTGGATAATTTTCGTCCAGTCAGTTTCTAACTATTCTAGAATAATGAGCTGGACAACCATCAAGCTGGAACCAGGCCAATCTTCTTAAATCTAACATAACATCATCCCACATATTTGCATGTTCAGCCTTTAAAAATTCCAAGAAGATCGCAGCATTTAACCTTGCAGGCAAAAGGTAGGGTCCAAATAGTCGATTACGGTAGATACCAATCCACACGTTCACACTAAATTCATGCTGAAAATTTCTTTCCCGAACTGCATACGGATTTTCATGCGACCAAATACGTTGATTATGAAAATTTACCACTCCACTTCTAGTGAAGCATGACTCGTCGGTCCATAAAACGTTACTTAAAAACTCCCTATTATTATCAGTTCTATCAAGAATCCACTGACAAAATGTGGTTGTTCGTTCTCCGTCCCCTGGCAGGTAAAAGAAACTAAATTTCGTGCATTCACAATTGCAAAAAAACGTTTCCGGTTTCAACGGACAACAAAACTAACTGTCAACTAATTGACGTTTAACCTGATTCTAAAAATTATCGAGATACCGACTTTTTAACGTTATTTTATCATAAATAATTAAAAATGCATCGAACCTTAAAAATCGAAATATCTCAAAAACGACTAACTATAACGAAAATTCACAAGAGAGCTTTTTTATGTTGAAAAGTGCGAGGAATCAGTTTTTTTATTCAAAAAGCAAATAATTGCACTAAGAAAAAATTTTCGGTCATTTTAATACACTACAGGTACAGTAGAGAGAGCCCTCTAGCGGTACAGTAAAACTATGCCCATGGTTCGTTTTGCCGTACCAAAAACCCCTTGTATACCAATTTTCACTGTTATACATCAAATATTGTACGAAATATTTAAAAAAACTATTTTAGAAAGTAAATTTAAACACCCTGTATTTCGGAAGCCACGCATTTTTCGACCCATGTTTATATAGACTTCATGCATTAATTTTAAAAGTTCTATCGAATCTTAAAGTTATGCAACAATAAACTGAAACACCCTGTATATGTATATCTCAGCATCCAAATGTTATTTCGAAATTTCAACATCTATTTCGTGAAATATCAGGCACAATCTAGCAGCATTTAAAAAATGGTATGCATCAGAAGACACCCAATTCAATTGAAATACGTCCCCGAAAATAAACTCGACCACCGACTTTGGACCTCAGTGTTGCCACCTCTCGGATTGTGCCGCAGATTGTGGAATTTCTTTCTCTGAAGATACGAAATGATTGCGTGGGATGCTGAGGGGTGATCTTTCCTTGGATGGTTGGCGTCATGTTTAGGAACAAACAATTTTCTGAAAAATAAATATGGCGTCTGTTTTATTACAACTGAGGGAATTCTTGTGATCCTTCTTGGCCATTGAAATTTTATGGATAAATGGAGCACGGTGTTGGGCATCTTCTTGGAAAAGGCGTTAATCATTTACAGGTGCCAAAACAAAAGTTATAATCTGAATTGGAACTATTGTCATCTGCATTATCAGATTTTTTGCTGTAATTTGTATTTTATGTGGGAATATATTAATACTACATTATTTATATTAAAATAGCACTCACAAGCCTTAAATAATATGATCTATACCCGTTCACACAATCAAATAGATTCACGAATAAATTGTCAGAAAAATTGATGGACTTTTTCAAGGCAACAACAGGCAATAAAATTTCATGATCAGATTTATTCAATTCAAGCAAACCAGCACATAACAACTTCCTATGATACCAACCTAAGGTAAAAAATAGCAAAACATTGTTTCTAAATTAACCGTAACTTCGGGGTCATGCTTGGCTTGAGAATGGGTTATTCTGTCCATTACATGGTCAAGTGATAGTTCTTAGCTACTACAATATTCCAAGCTGTTTGTGTAAAATTAATAGAGTTATTTAGTATCTGACATGCTAGGCCAGTAAATTTCGTGGCCTCGGAATCGTGCCTGTTTTGAAAACTGACAAAATACCAAAAATTGAGATAACCCGGGTATAGATGTATTATTCCATGCCGGTTAACCTGACGAAGAGGCATAACTATATATCTATTGGTGTAGGCAACATACCATTTACACCTGGGTGTCTTATCTGTAAAGGTAAATATATAATTCCCACGAAGAGACCTTAATGATGATAGGTCCCTTAGTGTGCAATAATTCTTGTTATTATATGCGCCTCGGTGGTCGAATCTTGGCCAAAGTGAGGGAGACTCTGCCCACAGTGCAATTCATACTGCGCTAAAGGGAGGTGGATATCTTTTTGAGCCCTCATAACTCTAACCGGTTTTTCGATAGGCCAGAAGTCGTCAACCTTATTTAGTAATCCCATTGAATTTTTTTACTGCAAGAAAGATTTAAGAATGTTGTCCACACGGCAAACTGAGAAAGGCCAAAATATTAAATGGAGTTTATGGTAAGAAAAGACATACCCACCAAAATATTTTTTAAGTCTAGCCACCACGATACTAGTTATGACAGTATTGAATTTAAAAGCCTGATGACAAATAGTGATAATAACGAGTGATTTTTTAAGAGGTATAGGATTTGATTTTCAAAAAAAAACACAAAAAATTTGAAAAAACGATTAAATCTTTATAGGAGTCGATAGATCGGTCGATATAATTTAATGTTTAAAGATTATTTCATGTAAATGTTGGCCGCGGCTCCGCTTTAGATGGCCCATGCGCAAGGTCCAATTTTGGAACACTCTCTCCAACATATCGGCCGGTATCTCACGAATAAATGCTTCAATATTGGCTTCCAGTGCGTCAATTGTTACTGGTTTATCCCTGTAGACATTAGCCTTAACATGGCCCCACAAGAAATAGTCCAACGGGGTTAAATCACACGATCTAGGCGGCCAATTGACGGGCCCCAAACGTGAGATAAACTGTTCACCGAACTCCCCTCTCAATAGGGCCATTGTTTCGTATGCGGTGAGGCATGTGGCACCGTCTTGTTGAAACCCCATGTCAGCCAAGTCCAGCTCTTCCATTTTGGGCAAAAAAAAGTTTGTTATCATCGCACGGTAGCGCTCGCCATTCACAGTTACGTTCCGGCCATTGTCGTCTTTGAAGAAGTACGGCCCGATGATGCCACCGGCCCATAATCCACACCAAACAGTGATTTTTTCGGGATGCATTGGTAGCTCTTGCAATGCTTCTGGCTGGTCTTCACTCCAGATGCGACAATTTTGCTTGTTAACATTCCCATTCAACCAGAAATGAGCTTCGTCGCTGAACACAATTTTTCGATAAAAATGTGGGTCTTCCTCCAACTTTGCCAGCGCCCATTTACCAAATTGGAAACGTTGTGGGAGGTCGTGTGGCTTCAATTCTTGCACCAGCTGTATCTTATAAGGTTTTACACCCAAATCCTGTCGCAAAATTGTCCACGTAGTGGAGTAACAGAGGCCCAATTGCTGCGAACGGCGGTGAATCGACATTTCACGGTCATCACTAACACTGGCGGATACAGCCGCAATATTTTCTTCAGTCCTCACTCTACGTCTGCGTGTTGGTGGTTTAATGTCCAATAATGTAAACTGGGTTCGAAATTTAGTCACAAGCTTCCGAATAGCTCCCTCAGTAGGCCGACCAAATTGCCCATAAACTGGAAGCAGTGCTTGTAAAATTCAATAATTTGCAAGCGTTGTTCATTCGACAATGACACAAGACACGATTCACGCGTCATCTGTCAAAAACAGTGTTGCTAAAAAGATACTAGCAAAAAAATCACCCATTATAAATGATATTAAACTGGAACAACTTTCTAAGGAAGTAAAAATAACAAAGAAGAAGTACTTACTTAATCTCGTTATGTGAAAATCCAACACCCGTTGCACGCATACCAGAATTCCGAAACTTTTTCAGAAATTTGCCCCACGAAATGGAATGAATTATTAATAATTTTGCCATTGTTTTATTGTGTATCATAATACATCAACATTAGCTGGTAATATATAAAAAGATAATGTTTAGTGGTTTTTTTTTGTTTTCATTTTAATAAAAATTGCTTTGACGCTCTGAGTTGTTTTCTTCACCTCATCACATAATATTTGTGTCACAATCTATATCAATTTTTGGCATGGACATTCAGGGAAATTTTGTAGGGGGTAGCCAAAATTCAAAAGTCGATCTGAACTTTTTTACATAAACTATAAAAATTAAACCATCAACAAATTTTCTGACACTATCGTCCCCTTTGCTGGACATAAGATTCTTTGCTTGTATGTAAATTGAATAAAGCCTGTATATCTTAAAAAAGTATAATAACAAGAACTTTAATAAAAATATATTTTAGCTCTATCTGACAAGAAGCCTCTGAAAATTCTCACAAAGTGACCTGCGTGCGTTTTCCAATTTTTTCCAAAGTAACTTGATAAGCTACCACAAATATTGAAACAGCACATGATTGGCAATGAATATGGGCTGATACACTGGATTTTTCAATTCGGAAATACCTAAACTTTACATACAATGCTCATTCAACAACACGCTGATTTCGTTTTCTTCCTCTCCTGTAAAATTTACTAAACGTTGGTTAGGACACTTCGTGAGAAAGCCGGCGATATGATCAACTAGCTATTCTGGGGTACTAAGATTTTCCGAGCTGCTTATGTAGATCAAAAGAGCAATTTACGTTCTCACATGCTACGCCAGTGAATTTGGTCTCGGGATAGTGCTTAGCTTGAAAATGTGTTACTCTAGGTCGATTATATGATCAACTGGCAGTTCTTGGGTACTATCATTTTCCAAGCTGTCTATGTAAAATCAAAATGGCCATTTAGGATCTCACATGCTACGCCAGTGAATTGAATAATCTCGGGATCGTGCCTGTCTTGAAAATGTGTTATATGATCAACTGTCAGTTCTTGGGTACTACTATGTGAAAATCAAGAGACATTTATGTCCTTCACATGCTACGCCCCTGGACTCCGCAGCCTCGAGATCGTGCCTGTCTTGAAAATGTGTTACTCGGTCCATTATATGATCAACTGGCAGTTCTTGGGTACTTCCGCCCTGCGACAAACCCGGCGACATTTCACCGCGTAGCACGTGGATTCGTTTTTTTTTGTCCCTATGTGCGGAAAGAGAAACGCCCTTTGCGGACATTTGTTGGTACTCTGAGGGAGGAAGTACCGTCTCCGAATGTTTGACATGATTTTTATCGGGGTTTTAAATTGCCTTGAAATAAAATACCTTTCTAAATTGTAGCTTCTAATATTGACTGACCTTTGAACTATAATGTTTTAGGTTGAGACTGCAGAAAAACAAACTTTTTCGGAAATCAGCATTTAGTAAACGAAAGAGGATGATAGGGGGAGCATTTGCAATCAGAAAAACCATGTGTATCCTTATCCGATTGTGCACGGGTTTTGAGTTATCGCCTTTTTAAGAATTCGCGGAAAATTCCTACTTTTGAGACTGTAATATTTTTTCTGTAGTTCTCTTTTGTTATTTTCCAATCAGATCTTCAAGGTATGTTCCCAAATGATGTGTCGCTGGAAAAAGCTATGAGTGAAAAGTTAGCCCAGTTAAAGTAGGTACAGCAATCTGCAATTTTGTCTGTTGTCAACAAGATTACAGCATATTCAACGAGGCCTGTTCAAAAAATTAGTGAGCGGATAAAGTATCCATAGTGATGAACAACTTCTCGATACTTTCAAAAAACGTAATAATAATCAAATAAATAGTTTGTGCGCGCAAGGTAGACAAAATGCTGCAGGGACCCTAAATCAGAAAATTTCGAATTTTTAAACTTAACCCCTTAACTGCTGTTGTTGATCTTTCAGCTCCTGAACATGATGGAGAATCAAAGAAATGTCAGGTCTCGTCAATGTACGTATACATGATATAATTTTGGGTAATAGAATGAATTACATAATGCTAGTAATTTTTCTTACTGTATTAGGTAATGCTGCACTGTTTGAGTAACGCTTTTAACACACAAATGTTGTCAAGGCCGTTAATCCCTTGGAATGATTAGACCCAGAAAGGCTTAAAGATTTATTGTCACATAAGTGTTTGCTCATCCTATTTGGAAGGAGGAAGATCAACAATGCAGTTAAAGGGATAAGCTTAAAAAATTTGAATTTCCGGATTTAGGGTATCTGCAGCGTTTTGTTTACTTTGCGTAGAGTTGATTATCTAATACGTATTTTGAAAGGTTATAGTATCGAGAAGATTTTCATCATTATGGACAATTTATCCGTCTACTATTTTTTTGTACAAGCCTGGTTGAATATGCTCTAATCTTTTTGACGAGACAAAATTACAGATTATCCGATTGCTATACCTACATCAACTGGACTATATTTTCACACATTGCTTTTTTCTAGCGAAACATCATTAGGGAAAAAAAGACAACTTCAGAAAAATAGTAGAGTCTCGAAAATAACGATTTTACAGAATCGGTTAAGGACATACCTATATGGTTCTTTCGTTTGCGAATGAATCCCCCCCATTACCTCCTTTCGTTTGATCTATGACTTTTGGGATACACTGTATATGTGGAACGTTTCCAGATTTTTAGGGTGTTGGGTATGTGGCAAAAGCATAAGCTTTTCTCAACTTTTTTGTTGAGTTGGTTAGTACCTAAGTGCTTCGAAAGTTGTCTGAATGTAACAATATAATAGGGCAATTTAAAAATACAATTAGTTTCAGCTTTATTTTAGACATTTTGTAGTTACGATGTATTTTTTTACGTATGTCATTCCACACCCTCTATTTCTTTATTTATTAAAAATTAGGAGAGCTGAAAAATTCGATTTATGAAAAACATATCGTCGATGTTATGATGAAACTCTAGTAATTCTGTAGATTTATAAAAAATCCATGTGAATGGAGGCGAATCCAAATTTTGGATCATGCGATTGGTCCGTGCAATAAACGTACAAAATTTCATCAATAATAATGCTTTTGAAGAAACGAAAACGTGTCACATTCATATTTGTAAAACCTTCTACATTTATTGCAAATATCGGTCGCATCATAATGTCTTATACAGGGTGGCGCATCGAAAACGAAACAGACGCTCAGATCCGTCGATTTTGTTTTCGAGGGGGACACAAGTTTGGCAAAAAATCACGTTAGCACGTGCAGCCCCCTAAGCGGGGGTGACACCACCCCCAAAATCTTAAATGGAACGGGGGGTCGAGTGATACCTTATTTTAAAGGTCTTTCAATTCCCTTAATAGTGATATAAAATTAATGTCCTTCAGTTCAGTAGTTTTGAAGATTAGTTGATTTAAAGCTTAAATAAAACTAATCATCATCATTAGTGAGATCAATACATTTGGCAGTAAAGTAATTTAAAAATGAAGAGTGAACTGACCTGTTAGGCAAGTAAATATTGAAAATGGCCACCATGACTCTCCATGCAATAATAAAGATTTTGCTCAAAACGTTGCGGAACATTTTGCAATATTTGAGGAGTAATTTGAAGGCACTCATTCACAATTCTTTGTCGCAGGTCTTCTAATGATGTTGGCTCAGTAGCATAGATTTTGCTTTCTAAATGACCCCACATAAAGAAATCCAAAGGTGATAAATCTGGCGATCTTGGGGACCATTCAATGGCACCTCTTCTACCAATCCATCGATCTGGAAACGTCTGATCTAAATATTGTCGAACACGTAATGCGTAATGTGGTGGGGCATCATCCTGTTGGAACATCAACCTATTCGCCGATCATTCTGATTTTCAATTATGGCTGTTAATGCAGGATCTATGGCGTCTTCCAGTAATTCCAAATACATTTCACCGGTCAAATTTCCAGGTAAGAAAAATGGACCAACTAAATCATCGCCAAAAATACCAGCACAAAAATTTAATTTTTGCGGCTGCCAATATCGGCAGTTATGACGATTAACTACGCCATTTAAGAAAAAGAAACATTCGTCGGAAAAGTAAGTGTTGAATAGAAAATGTTCATTGTTTATAATTCGTTCACTAATATCTTCACAAAATTGTAATCGCCGATCAAAATCGTCTGAATTCTATACGGATGAAAACAATGGACAATCCGTGGGACAATACGTCGACTAACACCACACACAGTCTCCAATTTGGGGGTACTTAACGTAGGATCTACATAAACTTGCCCTAAAACCCCCACTTCTATTGATTCGTTACTTATGGGATTTTCAATGTTGCGTTTTTTATTGGCGACTGAGCCAGTTTCCCGAAATTTAGCTACAAGTTCTAGAACATATTTTCGATGCACGTTACTGTTCTCATGTCGCTCATTAAATATTTCTGCTGTTCTATTAGCGCACTGATTATTTCCTAAAAATATTTCGATAATTTCAACTCTTTCTGCTTTGGAATATACCATGGTTAATTTATGCAATAAAGCGCTCCAAGTTATTTTAGCAACAAAGTTTGGTCAAATCAATCGCAAACTATGTACTAAATTCCTATTCAAAATAAGTACGAGATATTTCCTTATCTTTCTTCAAGAAATAACTTTTTTGCCACAAAAAACGCTCCAATAGCTATTTTCAACAACAAAATGATAAACAAACCATGGGCGCAGTGAAGAAAAGCATTTACTTATTATGTAAATTCTTTTAGTCAAATTTCTTCTGAAAGTAGTACAGACTAATCTGATGTACCTACTAAAGTCTACTTTAAGCTTTAAATCAATAAATCTTCAAAACTACTGAACTGAAGCTCATCTATTTTACATCATTATAAAGGGAATTGAAAGAACTTTAAAATAAGGTATCACTCGACCCCCCTTTGCATTTAAGATTTTAGGGTTGGTGTCACCCCCTCCCAGGGGCTGCACGTGTCAACGTGATTTTTTGCCAAACTTATGTCCCCCTCGAAAACAAAATCGACGGGTCTGAGCGTTTTTCCAAAAAAAAAACTGAGCTGCCAGTAAATGCGTGTTTCGTTTTCGATGCGCCACCCTTCATATCAACGTATTTTAATAAAACACACATTGTAAATATGTCAAAATATTTATTATGTAGTCTCTAGCTCTATAACTATAATACCAATTATTATAATACGTAGTTTTGATTGGTAGCTCATATTAAAACGCACTAAAAAAAAACACAAATCGTATATACAAATCAGTCTTATATTTCTGGCCCCTAGAATTTATACAAATGACACACACAGAAACACAATAATTCACAATAAAAAAATACACAGACTACACGGCGATGACATGGCACTGTTGCTCCAACCTTTTCAATTTAAATATACCCGTAATATTCCGAAATATGTAAACAATTGCACAAGCATACATGACTAAGTAAAAAATTCTTTGACTAGATTCTACGGAATCTGGTAAAATTTAATATGGCAACTATACAGTGTCTGTCAAACCAAGAGACGTATAAAGGCGAATGTTACAAGATCAGTATTTACTGTTGTTTGTACCATAAGTATTTACTAATTATTCAGTCCATGTCAGTGGATTTCTACGTGACCTTCTACATCGATCATTACTGATGTTCTGGCTACATTGCCAGTAAATATCATATACCATTATAAATGCTCACAGAAATACTGATCGTGTGATATCTATTCGCCTAACGATATTTACAGTGATATTTGGTAGCGACCAGCGTTTGCTAAAGTTTTAGGAGAACATTAAAAACTTTATAAAGAAATCGAATTAAAAACCGCGATAATTATCTGTTCTTTGTATTCAAACAATGACAGCACTTTCATGCATGATTACCAAAAATGCATTCAAAAAGTTTATTTTTATCCCTTCCTTCCTTTTATTTGGAAATTGTTTCTAAATGTTAAAGTATGTAGGAGTTTATCTACATAATTTTAAATTCAACTTTTAGACAAACGGACATTGACATTAAACATCTCAGACGTTGTAGTTTTTTGCGTTGCTATAAGGGTTAGGAAGTAGCATTAATGTATTTGTATACGAAGGCAGAACCTGAATACCAAAAATGACAGAATTCAAATTTACGAAGATAAAATAATTTTCAAATAAAAGAAAGGAATAAAAATAGACTTTTCGGGTATATTTTTGGTAAATATGAATAGAATCCAGCTGGAGCTTTGACTACAAAATTTGCTCGTAACAAAAGGTTAACATTGGCCACTATCAAAATTTAGGCAATTCTAAACCGCGGCAGTCTTAAGTCTTCCTCTAATTGTGAGGCGTACGTGCAATATGCAAAAAGAATGACACTTTATCGTTGCACTCTTGACCGCACATATTACAAGTGAATGGATCTTTGTAGCCGTGGTACCCCATGTGCATGGTGTACAGCACGAGATCACCAAAGCTAATTTTGCAGAACTGACAGTTGAAATCTTCTTTATTGTTATTCGTCATCTCCTCTTCTTTGGCTTTGGCTTCTTTGTTTTCAACCACTTCCACATTGCTGAACATGGTTGTATGGGTATCATCTTCTTCTTCATCTCCTGAAGAGTCATCTTGTTGGGGCACCCTTCGGTTCTGGGACGGCTCTTCAGGTTTGCTGAGGTCTAGTACCTCGTCTTGGGGTTGTTTCTCGACTGGCTGTGGTTCTTCTCTATTTAAAACTGAACTCTGCCTTTCCCTTGCAATTTTCTCCAGATTTTGCATGAGCAAAGTGTTTGCTAGTGGGCCAGGGAAGCCAGCAAAGAAGGGGAACGCGGCGAATGGTAGCTGGGATTGAGCATTCAACATAAACTGATTCAATGGGAACGGTATTACTTGCTCGGGTTGCGGACTCCTTTGCTCCTCTACTGGCCTTTGCTCTTGGCTCTTCAGTTTTGGACCTCGCCTGGTACCATAGACGTCTATTATAGGTAACGGATTTGGTGTCCCGTCTGGATTGAGCACCATCGCAGGCTTGTGGCCGTACTTGCGTAGATGAAGCTTCAACGAATGGCAGTACTTAGTGGCGTAACTACAATCTGAGCATCTGTATTGGTATATGTTGGAGTGCGATTTCAGGTGGGAGTTCAACATAGATTTGTTCACACAAGAGTAACTGCATTGGGTGCAACTGAACGGTTTCGAACCGGTGTGGTTCCTCAGGTGGTACTCCAAATGGTGCTTGTATTCGGTAACGAACGGGCATTTGGTGCAGGTCAAGAGTTTATCAGCTTTGATATGACTTTTCGAATGCTCCCAAAAGTTCAACTTCGTAATTGCGACAAAGTCACACTGCTTGCACTTGAATGTCTTCACTTTACCATGAGAGTTCACTTTGGGTATTCTCAAACCTTGTTCGTCGAACTCCTCTGGGTCATTGTCCGACTTATTTTCATCTTCTGCAGAGCATTCACTGAGTTTAGGGGACAAAGCCGAAGGTAGGAACCCATTCTTCTCCAAGCTCATCTCTAGTCTTCTCAAAGGGTCCTCACTATCATTGGACTCCTCTTGGTGCTGGATGCGACCACTACCGGGGGAACCTCGAGGGGAGATCATCGTACTATCTCCTTTAACTGGTGTTGCAGCGGAGTCTACAGTAGAGGAAATCAACGGCTTATGTTCGTTGTACACAGGAATAGTGGATGCATGGTATGCCATGTTGCTGCGGATGACTGGTGTTGAGTAAAAAGGGGGAGGTATGGGTGCAGCTACCCCCTGCGATGTGAGCAGAGATGAAAACTGAATGTTGGAATTCTCGCTGTGGTCACTGCCAGGTGATGAAGAAACGAAGTCGCTGCCTGATGCTATGCCGGAGTCGTTTCTTTCCTCTGACTCTGGTTTCTGGAAAGAAGAGAAGGTTTTGAGAAAACTAGTCAAGTAGATGGATATATCTCTATAGAGATGCAAACGATGTGTGCCATATCAACTGCGTACGTTGTATGATTAAATCGTGAGTTGAGATATGATTCAAAATTAATAAAATATTTGTGCAACAAAGTTTTTCCTGAAGCTGAATTTTTATTCAAATTTCTTGGAGTTTGAGAGCTAGGACCACGCATGCGAGAAACTGCCACGCGCGTGGCTGACGCTGTGTAGTCGACCGTGGGGTACAAGCTTTAAATAATATACTTTCCATACTGAGACAAGTACATGCTGTGCGATGCGTGTACCCCTCATATACAGTGTGTTCCAAAAGTCATGGAAAAAAGAAAGGGCGTGATGGGGGAAGGGGGTCATTGTGCATGGGTTTTCAGTTACCACCATTCTTAAGAATTTATAGAATATGGCTACTTTTGAGCATATACTTTTTTTTCTGAAGTTATCATTTGTTATTTCGCAATCAGATTCACGGGAGATGTTTGAAAATGATGTACAGATGAATAAAAGCTATCAGTGAAAAATTAGTCCAGTTAATGTAGGCACAAACAGCAATTTTGTCTGTTGTCAAAATCATTACAAAAAATTAGTAGGTACTTAAAAGTGACCATAGAGTTATGAAAAACTGCCACATATGGATAAACCAAAATACGTTTTAGATAACGAAACACCCTAAATGTTATAATTGTATATGCTATGGCTGTCATTATTGACAAGTGATTTAGCGATCCAAGGTTCTGGTTAGGCGAATTTCGGCCAGGATATTTAGAATTTGAAAGAAATAATGGTGATAAACCGTTTTACAATGGAATTATATTCTTGAAGGTATATGACAAGGCCCCTCATCGAGTTTGCTGGGTAACTTTTTTTAACATCAAAGTTCGGAAAATAGATACCTAAACCGTAAATCTGAAATAATTGCCAAAAGTTAAAGTTTTAGTAGTCGAGACGGTTTCGGCAAATTTCGATTCGTTACTACTTTTTGAAAAAATGGCGTGTTATGACGAGCTGTTCAGCAACTTTCAATGTCATCAAATGACCTCACATTCGGCTCATTCCCATGCTAGACATTTTAACATCCTATTAAAGGCGACGTCAGATTTTTTGTTATGACCAAAAAGCTTCGCCATGGCTACAACTATTTTTGCTTAATAAACTATTAGAATAAATCAGTTCTTTTTTGGGATGATAACTATACTCAAAGCTGATAAAATTCATACACTGAATAATTCCGCTGTAAAACAGTTTACTACAATTTTTTATATGATAGGATTTGATTTAGGTAGTCTAGTTAAATATAAGTACTTAGTTTTAGTTCATAAAATTCTCATAACATCAAAACCTGAATACCTGAGAGGTAAATTACGATTCAACTGTGAAGTGCATGACCGAGCTGTCAGAAATCGCTATATCATAATCTCCCAATTCTGCTTTATTCCAACGTGGTTTTTCATATAATGCAGCGTTATTCTATAATCACTTGAAAAAAGGTTCTTTGTGTTTAAATAAAGATCTTATTATTTATTATTATTATTGGCCATTTAGCTTGGTACGATTAGGACATTTTTCTAATCACTCTCTGTTCTCACCAAGTTAAGGTGATAACTGTAAATAGGAACCTCAAAATACAGCTTTTGTACTAAAAATAGCCTATCAAAATTTATTCAGTTTATCTAGCAATGCCAACAAAATGACTAAAGATAATTATAATTTATGTTGGATGAATTGGTACAATTCAATCCTTGCTTCATTTATATGCATTTTTGTAAACAATGACATACTATGCCAGAACAATTTATTTATTTTTAGCAATTTTAGTGATATCTCTATTTTTGACCCACATAATAAAAATTATTTAAGTGCTACTTTCAAAAAGTGTTAAAACATACATATACCTACATAGCATCCTAAACAAAAGTACTCGGTATACAGTAAGTATAGTATCGCTAAAATATTTAAATCGATTGGAATATAGCAGATCAATGCATATTACATATAAAAGACATATTTACACTCAACAAGTACCTTGAGAACAATACTATATCATTATGATCCCGAACATTGATAGTAATGAAAAGTTGTTTTCACACATTTCGTCACCGTCGATTTTATATTGCGTTCAAGTCGACATAAACGTATTTTAATCACATTTTCTCGGAAGTATTTATTTTTTCGGTGATACACTAGTTTTCAACATCCACAAACTGAATTTAAATGCATACCCATTAACCTACCTAAGTATCGTAAAATCTATACAACCGTTTGTTTTTTACGTTTCTCTACTAAAAATATCTGTGCATACTAAAATCTTATTCCTACGATATAGTGAAGTATCTTCGCAGTTCTTTAAAAAATCCGTATCTAAACAAACAACCCTATTTTGATCAACATGACTATTTTTAAACGCTTAAGCATTGCGCAAAGCTACTGGTATGTCCTTTCATCTTAGAAACAATTGTAATGAGGTGAATATACAGTTTTTTAACAGCCTACATGCCGTTTATACCGCCTTTATCTTTTACTGCATTCAAATTTAGAAATGTATTTATTTATCGTTCATTAAGGAAATATGGACGAATCTTTGCTTAACCTAGTTCTACTGTTTATACTTTTGGTAGTTTGGTCTTTTTTGTGGATCTTTTTATGTCTGTAAATACTATCCTATTTTAGTGCTTCACAAATAAAACGTACGTTTGGTAGCATACATCTAGATCTTTTATAACGTATCCGTTTCTTAAAAATAACACAGATGATTCAATATTCTGTTGACGCCTATTTATCAGAAAAAAATGTTATCAAGTAGGCTGACTCTGTACTTCAAGTTAGCCTCTTTGAGAAAAAGGTTAACGTGTATGAAAATTGGATGGGTCAAGTCAGTCAAACAGGCTCACTCAGTTAAAATTTGCATATTTAGCATGCTTTTTTGTACAATATTCAAAAAGTTTTGAGGGTAGATAAGCTTCCTCGCAGTTATCTCTTGCCGATGAATAATACTCCCCTCCCCTGAGAGAAATTCCTGCTGGCGCGCATGATCGTTGTTACGTGCAAATCCCAAATGGATGACGATATTGACTTTCAGAGCACACAGTAGTACGGAGACATTTCCAAGTTTCAAGAGCAAATCTATGATAAGTGCAATACTAATAAACTAAAATGCAGTGTTCGTACAAATACCTATACCGCTTAACGTTTTCTATTTTACGAATATCCTTGATTTACACTTCCTAGCCTACTTTTCTGGAATGCACCGCTAGAAAAATAGATTTTTGTGTCTGGACTGTTTCGTGTTTCCCAATGTTTCAGCATTGTTCTCAATAAAAATATGATCTATCTGGCACGGATGGGTCTGGCAACGGTTCAACAAAATTTCAAAGTATTGATTGCTTAACTTTTTAGTTGCTCGAAGCAAAACTAGTCAGTAGCGACACTCTGGATTTTTGTAAGGTTGCGTCAGGGTCTTTGGGTTATAAAAAAATTGAGGACGAATTTGCTATTATTATACTTTTGTGATTTTGTTGTTAACTTTTTACGCGTAGGTGTAGGAATATCATATTTTTCATGTCAAACCTAGGTTGAGATTATGGGAATAGTGAAATTCCAGAACGTAATAAATAAGCTTGACAGATTTTCAAAATAATGAAGAAAAATATTTTGGCAATAATCAATTCCAATAATAAAAGCATCATATGAATCAACGATTCGAATGTTGGATATTCGAAAAAAGCCTAGGGGTAGTAACAAAAAATTGGTAGATAAAATTCAATTTGTTAAATACTAGAAGTTCATTTCAAGATTTAGGTGTATATGCACTGCAATGACGGCTATAAAAAATAATGAGATGATCAAGTACCTAAATATTGATCTTTTTCGTTTTCTTACCGGTATGACAGAGTGAAATTGCCAAGCTGAAGATGGAGAAGGGGGTTCCATCATCATTGGTGGCTGGTAACCCCCTCCAGCGGGGCGTAGTCCACAGGTTGATGTCATTTCGTATGAAGGACTTCCTCTCATTTCACACGATGGATGAAGAGTCTGTAACAAAATGTAATAGTTATTTAATATGACGATTCAAACCAGATTTACCAAACAAACAAGAGCACCCGATCGTTCTTTATTTTTGCTTGTTGCTACCTGTCCAGGCATTTATGACTCGCTGCCCTATGGGGCGCGTGAATGAAATTTGAAGGAACAACTGGGCTGCATGGTACATCAAAATATATACTGCCGTTACCGAGATTACGCGGTCTTAAAAAAGAGATTTGATTGGGAAGGGAAATCACACAAAAGTATAAAACACAGCCCAAAACAGTATACTTTACTTTTGTTTGCGCAGTGATCTCAACCAACAAAGAAAATACAGGTAAAAGTAAATTAAATTTGGTTGTTTACATCAGAGCTACATTTTTTGAACGACAGCAGGAAATACTTATCCACCTGGTTTTTAGTGTTTGTATATCTAATTCCTCAAGGCCAATAAAAAACCAAAGATAGCGAAATATCTGAATAATTTGTAGGTAATGTGGAAAAACATGTTTTTACAGTAATAGATAAAAAATACTTCCTCGTTGTACTACGTCTTTGAATCCGAAGAAGCAAAGTTCAGACGAAATTGTCGTTTTTTAAATAAATAAAATTGATGATAACGCTGTTTTCGGCTATTAATTAAACTATTAATTAATCGATAGATTTTGTAACATTGAATCAAATCTCGGCAAGTAATAAAAATATTGTTGTTTCTATGTTCAAAAAAATCTGGAAAAGTTTCGTAAAATGGTTGTTTATAGTAAATAGAAATACTCGTATAAGCCAAACTTTAAAGACGAAGATTTAATATCACCGAAAGCTAATAAATGCAGATCAATCTAGTGACTCATTTCGGACTGGAATGCATAATACCCAATTATAGTCCAGGAATTATGGATAAGGAAATCACAGATTAATTAAGCGATCTTATATTTGCAACAAATAAAAAAAGTTGCTGACGGTTTCGACTGCCCTGTTGATCTTTTCTAAAATTCAAAACCCTTGTCTCAATTATAGGCTTACAGCTATATAGAAATTCGATTTATAGTAACTAACAAACAAGTTTCCAGAATTTTTTCTGGTTCGACAAACTAGAATTTATGAATTACGTTAAGCATATTATTCCATTTATAAATGAAGCTTGTAATACATGATTATTTACGCATCATTGGGTAACAATTCCTATATTTTAAATCTTGTAGGCATGGTATTTGAAGTACATAAATATGCGTATCCCATGAATGAATGCATTTTAGTTAATCATATGTAAATGCTGTTCTATTTTACATAAATAGTGTGTATTTGAGAGAGGTTTGAAATGATCGGCGATGAAGAAGTAACGTACAAATTAGTCGCCAGAAGGCACCTTAATAATAAAATCACCTTTATCCTTTGAAAAAAAAAAGGTGCAATATATTGACCGCGTCTGTACCTTCAATGTACTGAATTTTGATTAAAAATTGCACACCCTTGGAGACGGCTCAAACAGGTACAACTAAATACAGGCATATCCAAATGTACAATTATATAGTTTGTTATACTAAAAATTCAAGAAAACAACAATCAATAGTATTTGTACCTTCCAGGGAAAAAATCAAACAAAACAGCTCCCGAATAAAAATGGCCAATGATGATGAATAAACCTTAACTAATTTGAACCGCCCTTTAAAAGACACAAATCTCGCAACAACAATATTATGCTGCTAGATTTGGTTTGAAAAAAAATCTGTAACTAGCAAACACTGGCTGTCAACAAAATATTATTTTCCGCAACTAACACCCTTACCTTAATAGCCCCTTCTCATCTGTAAGTATCCAAAACTCAATGTCTCCAGAAATCACGATCACCACTCACTATCATCGCTCAATCCAAGTAAATAGTCTATGAAATCAAAAACACACTGATGCGAGAGAGATGCTATGCGTCAACTGTCCCGAACAGAAGTAGCTGCAACCCGTCACAGTCGACTAGATTGTACCTCGTGCGCTTCCACTGAGCTTGAACCTGATTGGTGGATGGCCATCCCCACCACTGGGCGCCACCCCTACCTCAGGGTGCATGCAAGACGGATGCAGGGTAAAAAACGAACCGTAAAATGGTGAAGGGAGAGGGTTAACGTGGCGAGGGTTAAGGATGGGTAAGTGATGGAGGGGGTAGGAGAAAGCGGATGTTTCTAGTTGATAGATGGTTCAATTTTTGGATATAGGTTTGAATTATTTTTGTATATCCTCAGCCCTCAGGTATGATACTTTTTTAGTATTAACCTAAGAAATCACGATTATTGAGATCTACCCCCTAATGTAGAGCCGTCGCAAGTAGTTTCTAGTGAAGTGCAATGACATTAAAAAAGGCTTAGTTTGTGTCAGTGCCAGCAATGAACTATTTGGGCTTTTCGTGAAAAAAAAAATCCTCAGATTGTCAGAATGAGCGTGTTTATATACGGGAGCGTCATTTTTTGGAGCTGTTTGATAACTGACTATAATAGGTCTGGTTACATACTTATACAGGGTGTCCAAGATAAGGATCCTGTGTATGGGGTCTCAACACCCGTGGGCGATATACAGGGTGTTCCTTAATGATATGCGAATATTTAAGGGTGTGAATCTACGTGAAAAATTAATGTTAATTTGCTTTATAAAATATGGTCCAAAAATGTTTCCTTACAAAAACCCGGGGTGTTGAAGTTTTAGGAAAAAAATCGAAATTAATTAATATTTTCAGAACCGATATTTCACTGATATTTAGTGCGTAATGGAAGTTTATAAAGTTGCATATTTTTCAGTGCAAAAATAATTTTTAGCTTTAACAGTAGTGTGCGTACGGGTATTGACTTCGTTATTTTTTAAGATAAAAATGGTACGCCAATGATTCCTTGCCAAAAAAAAAATTATTTTTGAATTCCCCGTTCAATTTAACAAATAATCTATCTTAAGTTGCTTTCCTTCGATGCGCCATTTTTGAGTAAACAAATAAAAATCTTTCTATTATCCGAGAAAATTAATGTAATAATTGAAGAATGCAATTTAGCAATAAATATCTAGTTGCTCTGGCTTTTGACATCTGACGAGTCTGTTATTCAAATCTGTTCGCAGTGACATCTTTTCTAATATTCATCGTCGTCTTGTTGAAACTGGTTCTGTCCGAAAAGCAACATCTGAAGGTAGACCTCTAAGTGTGAGAACACCTGAAATTGAGGAAGCAGTGCTGCACGAAGTCGAAGAACATCCTGAAACGCGTACAGGCATTACTTCCCATTGATTTTCCAAGACGTGTGCCCTTTTGTCAGAGGTATCTTCAAAAAATTACACAAAATCCGCAATTTGAATCAATGATGCTGTTCAAGGACGAAGCTAAGTTTTCTCGAAGTGCCATTCAGAATTTCCACAATAATCATTTGTGGGGAGAAGAAAATCCCTATGCCCTAACCGAAACCCATTTCCAACACCAATTTTCGGTTAACGTATGGGCAGGAATTATTGGCAACCACTTCATTGGCCCATTATTCTTGCCGGGACGACTTGACGGACAGACTTACCTCAATTTTCTTCAACAACAGTTGCCTTTGCTGCTTGGTGATGTTCCGTTAGTAATAAGAAACAATATGTGGTACATGCATGCTGGTGCACCAGCGCATTTCAGTGTAGCGGTTAGTAATTATTTACAAACTGTTTATCCAAATCGTTGGTTTGGCCGCGGTGGGCCCCAAGAATGGCCACCAAGGCCCCCAGACCTCAACAGTTTATATTTCTTTTTATGGGGCTATCTTAAGACACCAGAGTACACAAGTCCCATTATAACTGTAGAGGAATTAAGAGAAAGAATAGTTGCAGCTTGTGATAGAACAAAAAACACTCCAGGGATATTTCAACAACTGCGCAATTGCATGAGAAGGAGGGCGGAAGCATGCATACTAAGTGAAGTGGTCCATTTTCAACAATTTTTGTAATCATTTCGTTGGTTTTAATGTTATGTTTATGTTGTCAGTTGTTCTTGTTCATCACCCCTAATGTGTTTAATTTTTCCAATTAAATTAATAATAATTTTGCAGGATAGACAATAGAACGGCTTTTATTTTTTTACTAAAAAAATGGCGCATCAAAGGAAAGCAACTCAAGAGAGATCATTTGTTTTACATTGAACGGGGAATTCAAAAATAATTTTTATTTAACCAAAGACCATTGTCGTACCATTTTTTTCTTAAAAAATATCGAATTCAATACCCGTACGCACGCCACTGTTGAAGCTGAAAATTATTTTTGCATTGAAAAATATGCAACTTTATTAACTTCCACTATGTACTAAATATCAGTGAAATATCTGAAGCGGTTCTGAAAATATTAATTAAATTCCATTTTTTCCTAAAAAACACCCCGAGTTTTTGTAAGGATTTGATCATAGTTTATAAAGCAAACTGACAATAATTTTTCATCTAGATTCACACCCTTAAGTATTCGCGTATCATTAATGAACTCCCTGTAGATTAGGTTGAATTGGAAAAAAGCTACGTTCTTTAGAGGCCTTGAGAAACTTTTAAAAATTTCATGGCTTACTGAGGTGTTTGGAAAAAATAAAAATGATTTGTCCAAATTTTAGTTTTTTTAAAATACCCCAGTACGCCATTAAATCTTTACAAGTTTTTCAACGGGATGTAAATACGTCTCCAAGGAACGCCACTTTTTCATAATTTAACCTAAGCTATATTTCCCACAGGTATTGAGATCCTCATGCATATGATCTTTATCTTGGACTGTATAATGTTACGTCACGAAATCAAATAACCTCATTGACTAACAACCCCTCCAACAATTTTATATATTGTTTTCGTTTTCGGCTTTTCTCTTCGCCGCCACTGGACCGATTTCCGAAAACTAAACCGTCTTTTCGTCCTTAGCATAGTATTAACCTTGTATAAAAATTTGCTCCAAATCCGAGCAGTACTATTAAGGTAATAGGTGGGCCAAATATTAGCGGACAGACCAACTTGCTTGAAAAGTAATGGTGGAACTGTGGATGTATGTACTCTTTTAAAAACAGATAAACGGGGCGGTAGTGCGAAGTGTTAAGAAGGTCGGTAACGGTATTCTGACGATTATTAGCCCTATTTCTCGGAAAAGTCACATATGGTCTTCCAGCTCTTTGTTCCACTTTTCATTCCAACAAAGCTTGCTGTAGCTCCTGAGATGTGATGATCTCGGTTTTCGGGACGGTAAATGAGAAATTTGAAATCATAAGTTTCAAATGTTACATTACCCAGGAAGGCTTGTAATAAACAACCTTCAAGAAAAATACGTCGTTAGGTCTAATCACAAAAACAGGCAACAAGATGTTAATGATTCACTCGAAGTCATTATAGCAAATACCTATTCACCAAATAAAACAAAGTTTGGAGTCAACAAAGGCCTCGTAGAAAGTATCGTTAAAAAATAATTAATTTAATCCCTAGATCATGGTGATTACTCGTTTACAAAAAAATGTGTATGTCATAATATGTGAGCTTGATTCCATTAGCTGATTGACGCAGTTGATAAAGTGGGCCCTTAAAAGCACAACATATTTTTAAGATACACTATTTTATCGTCTTTTAATTAGCTTCTTTCGCATAATTGTGTGTACGTGCAAATCCTCACCAAACTTAAAATTATGCTGATTTATTTGTTAGCACCAGGGCCGGAGCTATCAGGGGTAACCAAGGGCGTAGGTATTCAGGCACCTGACTGGAAGGGGGGCAGTGGTGGTCGCAGGATTCATGTTCGTCTCGAGAGGGAGGAAACGGGTATTCAGATTTGAATACCGATTACAATTATGCTGATTTCTTTGTTAGCACCAGTGCTGGAACTATCAGGGGTAACCAAGGGCGTGGGTATTCAGGCACATGTCTGGAAGGGGGGCAGTGGTGATCGCAGCATTCATGTTCGTCTCGGGAGGGAGGAAACGGGTATTCAGATTTGAATACCGAGACAAAATATACTAAAATACTAACGAGAAGATTTTGGGAAATTTTGTCGCATTTCAATTTCGATCAGTATGACAGATTGCTTGATATCTGCAGGGATATTACGTATCTTGAAAGGTGGCATTATGTAGGTTTTCCTACAAGATGTCAACGTTTCGCTAGCACGAGTGGCAAGCTTCTTCAGAGGTACTTCCATTTCTGATGTAGTCTACATCCAGCATCGGAAATGGAAGGACATCTGAAGAAGCTTGCCACTCGTGCTAGCGAAACGTTAGGAAGAAATTCCAACCGACGACGGCCTATAGGCCCGTATCGTCAGTCGTACCTACAATTTTAGGGCGCGTTTATGGTCTGCTTGATTGTCATCCTCCTTTCTCTCCTTCAAAAATTGCTAGATTACACTTGTCCCGTGTCAGCGTCTACGCTCTCTTAGGCCCGGTTTTTCAATCGCAAGTTAACTTTTTGGTTAGTTAACTATCGCCAGGAAGTTAACTAGTAGTTACTTGCAAATGCGTTTTTCAAGTATTTTGACAGCGTCAGTTAACTTACCAGAAGTTCAACATATATTTATGTTACAGCCCTGTATCTGCGGTTCTTAGATATCCTGTTCTATGCGTTTTGTGCGCTCGGCATCTGTGTCCCGTGTCATACATGACAGTCCGATTCAGTTAAAATTTCTTAAAATAGCCAAAATCGAAATCCGGAAATTTCATTAAAAAAATAAAACCTTTGTCAAGCAAGGTAAGTTTTTTAAAACATTGCTCGTACAAATGTTTAGTAGTAGACCCTATAGACGGCATTATATAAATGGTGATAAAAAAGGTTGCAAATGCAATGTCTAATGAACCATACTAAGATCAAAAAACGATTAAGTTGTAAATATCTGCTGAATATCGTATTTTCCACCTTTTCTAACATCACTCCTATAATCTACAATCCAAAAATAAAGGGGATACACAATACCTCTATTCTTGTTGCTAAAATATCTCAAAAACTGTTTTCTAGCATGGAGAAAGAGATCAAAAAGAGAGCTCAAAATTTCTCGAAGAATGAGGAAATGATGCTAATATCATTGGTGAGCAAAAATAAAGATGTAATAGAGAGCAAAACATGTGGCACAGTTACGTGGAAACAAAAAAGTTCAGTTAGGAAGAGCATCGAACAAGAATTCCAAGCCCTAGCAGGGTGCCACCGAGAGGCAAAAACTCTACGAGATAAATATTTCAATTTAAAGAAACAGGGGGAGGTTCATGACAATTGCAAGCATTCGATCTGATTGATACACAATTACAAGAAATAATGGGACCACAATTAGAAGGTTTGACAAACAATTATGATGATGGCTGTAGTGACCAAAAAGAGGTGGGTAGTGAACACAGTAAGTCTCATTGCTGTTTATTGAAGTATTTTTTAATTATTCATTTGTTAGTTCCTGATGCAAACAACTGTGATGACAGTGAAGAGGTCTTCAATAATGGGAAATGGAGCTTCTATACTCCCCAACAACTGAAGAGGCCCAAAACTACAAAGCTATCATGTACGAAAACAATACAAAATAAAAAATATATTTCTGTTAACTATCTACTAATGGAAGAAAAGCTGAATTTTTTGAAACTACAAAACGAGAAATTCATCGAAGAACACAATAAAAAATGTTTGTTAATTTCTGGAATATTTTCACTTTTACTCATTTTTTTGTATTTCGCATTTTTCAGGATAATATGTTAGTTTAATAATAAACTGCTTTCAGAAAATCATGTTTATTTTCATTATGTAGTTACAATAAATAGGGGATAATTCATATGTCAAGTAGATGAGAGGTATGGCGAAAACTTTAGGTGTCCAAAAAGATCGACTGAGTGCCCATTTTGAGGCTTGGGACATCTATTTTCAAAGGCCCTGTGCGCCTTTTTTGGGCAACAAAAGTTTTGCCAAGACTCTTATCCACTTGCCATGGATTATCACAGATCTTATACTAAACAACTTTCACCTAGTATCGAGTCATTCACTGAGCATCAGTGAATGTATTGAATCGATTTACAAATTTGCAAAATAATTATTAATAAGGTAAGTTCTAACATTGTTGATTGCATTTTGTGGCAACCTAATATTTACAGGATCTGTCTTCATATTATCTACATGAACCATGTAAATAGCATTTTCCTGTTCAGGACTAATAGGGGGCATAGCTTCATTATTAGGACAAGCAATATTATGTAGCACTGCTGTTCCTAGAGTAACTGCTTGAGCTGTATCTAGATGAACTCTGAGACCCATAGCTAGACATGGAAATCTTCTTTTCCAAATTCCATAGCTTCTCTCTATAACATTGCGACTACGAATGATAGATTCATTGTATAATTCTTCAGCAGGAGTTGTAGTTGTATTTAATGGTGCCATCAAATGGCGGTTAATAGGATAACCTTTGTCACCAGCCAACAACGAGTTTCCAAAGTGACCTGATTCAAATTGTCTGCAGAGCTGAGAATTTCCGAAAATGTATGAATCTGCATCAGAAACAGTTCAATGAAAAAAACTGCTTTCGATTTCTGAAGAGCTGGCTTCCCCGTTTATATGCGTGCAGTCAATTGCACCTATGCATCGAGGAAACCTAGCTATGTTATTTATAAAAGGATTGCTTTGCCATGGCAAGAGCCTCAAGAGTGTTCGGCATTTTTATGTAATTACTTATTTTACTCGTTAGTACTTTGAAGAATCTTCGGACTGTTTTGGATGCAGTTGATTTGGAAACCCAAGCAAAATGTCCGGCAACAGTTAAAAAAGCAACATTGCGCAGTGCTAAAAACAGCTGATGTTGGGGCGTTAAGCAGTTATTCCTAGAATGACAAAGTCATGTAAAAATATGGAAATAAACAATAATATATACATCTACCTGCTTGTAGGATTCATAGACTTCGTCCAAGAGAGTTTCTACAGTCCTTTTTGTAAGACGAAATCTTGCAAGGAAATCGAGGTCATCAAAATAAAGATGTTTATAGCTTAAATTAATCGATAGATTGATATGGATTTGTTGTGATTTTTTGAATAAACGCCAAAGTTTATGTCAAAAAACGTCAGGTGTTGCTATTTAACTACAGCCTTTCTAGTTAACTCATAGATGGTCTTCTGGTTAAAGTTAACTTCCGTTTTACTATAAACATGATATTGAAAAACGCTTTTTCATAAATAACTATAAGTTAAGAACCTGCGATTGAAAAACCGGGCCCTATTGTGAAGATATGTTTTCTGTAATGTGCTTGACAGATGGCATTACTGGATGTCTGAGCTCTAAGGTAACGTCAGTGTATAGTGAGGATTTGTGTGATAATAATCTGTGTTGATGATAATTCCATTGGCTTCTTGTCTCAAATACACTTACTTGAGATGTATGCAAAGCTAAAAATTCGTTGGGCATCCCTGGATGGTAAAGTTTATTAAAACTTACATGTGAGAAAACATGGTGCATACAGGAATATTCATGAAACGTAAAAAAGTTATTACATTTCACATTAATTTTCATTTCCAGTCATTTAAATTTTATAGAAATTTATTTTAGGATGTGATGTAGAAAATACAAATCAACGCCTAGATGTGAGGCAGTGTGAAAATGTTTTTTATGTGATGCGTCATTCCTAATTTTTCTGTGATGAGGCTAGAATAAAAACAACGCGGGTGCGTTGCCGATTTTCCGTAATGCGTCTCAAAGTTTTTGAAAACGCTAAAAATCGAGGAAAATCGCAATGTATAACTTAGAACATCTTTTTTCAGAAAGGAAAACACAAATATCCCGTCTGGCACAGCTAATAGATATATTTCGAATTCAGTATATTTAGTAATAGTTTTCTCACATAGCAAATATCAGTGATTTTATACACATACAGACTAATACACACAATCATCTAGAATTTTTTTTTATACTCCAACTACTACGAAGGCCTAATGCCTAAACACCCTTGGGTACCGTGGGCCTATAGGGGGATACAGGGGAAAGGGGGAACGCCACACGGACTCTGGCGAGGGAACACGTGTGCATGCAACATGCACACATTCTGGCTCCGCCTACGAGATCCGCCGGGTGGTACCTCCGCGTTCGACAGTCAGAGACCGTCTACCACCTACGGACAATCACAACATCCATAGCCAAGAGAAAAAATTTCTCTTGGAACGGGATTCGAACCCGCACAGCGCGCAGCGACTGATCAGGAGACCGAAGATTCTACTACTTCGGCCACCGCTGCTGCCTATTGATCTTGATACGCTGATGCCTAACCATGCATGTCCTCAGATTATACTCTACAGACTATCTCGGCATTGTGCAGCCAACAAAGCATGATGGACGCCTTTAGCTTATAGCTAACTATTTGTACACTAGGAACTATCTAGGCAGCAAGTTGACATTTTGTCGTTTTTTTATGTTTTATAGGTGTTTTACGTAATAGCCCTGCTGGTAACATAGTAGGAGTTTTTCCAGAAATTTTCTCCAAGCGGATGAGAGCAGTATAAGTACGAATACGCTTCGTTATCACCGAATATAACTGCGCAATTTATCTTTTTTACAAGTTAATCCATAAATGCATGTATGGCTTTTTTATAAAGTTTTCCAGCTAAGTACTGATAAACTAATAAAAAATGAGATAAGTGGAAACGTTTCGTAGGGTATGAGCATATATACATGAATGTACTCGCTGACTTTGCATCAGAAAAACAAACAATATCAATTTATCTTTCGAAGCGTATACAACAATGTATGGATATTTACCAACTTGTGTTTTGGTGTGTCTACCAACCAAACTTTTCTATGACCGATAAAACTTCTTGGCCAATAAAGAACTTCCTACAATCCCCAATTTTTAACCGATAAAAATTTTCCTGAAAATGATCAGGAGGCTTCAGAAACACTAGACGAAGTTTGAGCGATTTTTGTTTTTTCAGTTTTTTGCTGGTAGCTACATCGCCACTGGATCGATTTTTAAAAACTACGAAGCTCTTTCGTCCTTGGCATACAATATATGACCGGTACTTTTCATGTTATAGCTCAAGGATCTGCGGTCAGATAGATAGACCGACAGATTGACGGAAATAAGAGACAGAGCTTTTCGTGATCCCATATTTTTCGAAATTTTTCGCGATTACATTACTTCCTCGCTAGTAGCGTAGAAAGTAAAAAAGAATACGAAGATGCAGACGTCTAAGAGACGGATGTCGATTTTTGTCGATAAGTCAAAAACGAAACGAAAACAGCTCGATTGGTCAGAACGGTCTAGCCCCAACGCAGCACTGCTATTCTTTTACATCCGGTATAATGTGGCTCAACGATGACACTCTTAGAAATCTTTGAGATGGAAAAAGTGTACTATATTGTTTGATGTTAAAATGTGCCGTATTAGATCTATCAATTTCAATACTGATCTTATTTGAATACATGCATAATCCAATCCCTGGGTATATCTAAATGAAAACCGGATTATTCAAAATATGGGTAGTATACAATATTTTTGTTTTTAAAAAATGATTAAAATGAGCTACCAAAATTTAAAATTGGCCCACTGGCTATGAAGATATATTGAATAACCCTTTTACGATTTGGATCGGGTGACCTCGATTCTTATATACTCTTATAGACATTGACATCAGTGGCTGTTCCTAGTCGATGCATTGACGCAAGTAGGCTATATTTTAGCGTAAAAGTGTTATTACTATATTATTACATTTATGTAAAGCGTTTTCTGTTGATGAAACTGGTGCAGTTTTCGTGTTTGAAACAATCCACCCTAGTTGATCCTAAACTTACTCCCAAAATGGGATAAAACAATTGAAGGGTACCGGGGTATAACGACAATAATCCAACCGGACTGATTTTGAGAAAATCGGTAATTAAAGTTTACTTACTTGTTGGAAAGTAAAATTGACGAAAAAATAAGTCGTGAAGAATATCTTTGCTAAACAGTGTCTTTATTGGTAAAATAGATCTTACAAAATGAACTTTTACTCAAAACTAGTAACGTAACAAACAAAAGATGATGTTCAACTCTGGACTCGTACCACTTTTCTCCTGCTTTAAGTGTCTATTGGCGGGTCATCGTCATATTCATCACCTCTATCTTCTGGATGATCAAGATATATTAACTGTTGATAAAATGCCCTGGAATCTGCTGTCTCTAGAAAATTGGTCAGATCCTGCAGATTGTTCCATTTCTTACTTTTAATTGGGATTGAGCACTGGTAAAGTTTTCTCAATGTTTCCTCTTCTCATTTTTGTTGATCTTTTTGCGTCTTAGATTCTTCCGAATTACCTTATCAAATTTAGAACTAGCATATAGGCCCATGTATGTCGATTGGTGAAAAACTACGCGAGGATTCTGTTTAAAAAGCTTGAGCATCCTGACTGGTCGGGTTGGAAAGGGGCACTTCGTTGGATAAAACGGCGATAAAACGTACTTCACGTGGCAATTTTTCAATTCATCTCTCCAGTCATCCGGTACCTCAGTGTATGCTCTTTGGTTCACGAGACTCATATCTCTATCACACTCGAGGTATGAATGCCCCCTGATCGGGAATATTATTTTCACAGTAATAAAACGATTTTTCTTGGTAACCAAGTAATGCAAAAACCGAATAACTGTAAAGTTTTTATTTTGACCTGCACAGGAGTCACAGAAAATGGCAAGTTCTTTTACTTCCATAGGCAGGATGTTATAAAAAAAGTGATACAGCATAGAATAGACATC